TCCGTTTCCACTTGAATACAGGGTCTCAGATCGATCTTCGGTGTGGGACTAGGAGTGCTGCTGGCACAGAAGTAGGACATACAAACGCCGGGAAGGACATCTAAGACGAGGTGTCGGCGGGTTGAGGTCTTTCTGGTCTGGTTCTGGCTGCGGGAAGTAGGCTGCAGGCCGGTGGGCCTAAACCCTAAACCCTAAACTTAGCCTAGCGAAAGCTGTTTCTGACCCTTTCTTGCCGACTCGCCCTTCTCCTGACCCATCGAACACAACACCCTGACCCCAAAAAACCTACCTTTTTAGGGATCCTTATTATTGTTTCTTTATAGTAAGTCCTCAAAAAGGTAGGTTCCTTAGTATAGTTTCTTTCTCATAAGTCCTCAAAAAGGTAGGTTCTTTGAGGTATAGTTTCTTTATAATAAGTCCTCAAAAAGGTAGGTTCTTTATGGGGGTCAAGGAAAACCCTGAATGAAAGTCTTCAGCCCTCCAAAAGCAAGCCCAGCCAGTGCTTAAGCAGAGATGGATATCTAGGAAGGCATGCTCACTGAGGGGTGTAATCGAAACCTGCACACCTCCCTGACGCGCCAGACTTGTGTTGTTTACTTGCTTCGCCTGAGCCTGTAGCCTTTAAGCCCCTATAAACCCTTAAACCCTAAACCCCCTAAACCCTACACCCCTAAACCCTTAAGCCTTATACTCTAAACCCTAAACCCTAAAGGGAAAAATATACTTAAGCTCTAAACTTTCGCCAGGGCGGTTTACGGAGCCGAAGAGTCGATCTTCCAGCTCTTGAACCCAGAACTCGTGACTTCGCTGAGGCCAGGACTTCAGGATTTTAGGGGTGTACTTGGGGTCTTTAGGGCTTGGGGGCCTGGGAGTCGGAATGGACTTTAGGGTTTAGGGTTTAGGGTTTATGACGATTTTGGGGATTGGTAGGGGTTTTGGGTTTGATGTTTGAGGTCTTAGGGTTTGAATGGTTGGTTTTTGGGTGCAGGTTTAAAAATTTAAGGCCTCGGAGTTTGAATGGTTGATGTTGGGGGTTAGTAGGGTTTAGGGTTTAAGTTTGGTGGCTTCTTCACAGTGTCCCCTTGCTAAGAGGTTCATGTTGCAGGAGCCTTACTCGGGGCTTTCTCGGTGCCGTCACGACGACAAATCAAAGCCTCAAAAGTTCTTCTGCGACGACTTGTGGGCTTGCTAAACCTTACAAGCTTGGCCGTGCGGGCACTGTGCTTCCTAGCCGCATTGGTTTACAGGATACTTCTGACCGTATGTTTGCAATCCGACTAGTCTCACTGGGTCTTCTTGGGCAATGCCTGCCCCCGGATGGAGAACTTGTAGAGTTGATCTCCTTTCGGCTTGTTTGATGTCTCTACATGACTGACTGCTTGTGTGGTTCGTGAGGTTACAGGTGGTCTGACCATCGAATCCTGGCAGCCCCGAATGAAGAGAGCTTCGGGAACTTGCGGGTATTGGGGGGGGGCATCTATCTTAGCAATCCGCCCGAGGGGTTTCAGAGTGCAGCGCCCTGATATGGGGGTTTCCGAAAGTAGGGGACCCTAATATAGTACCCTAAATAATAGGATCCCTATTACAAGGACCTCAAAATAAGGTACCCTAATTTTCTGAAACTCCCATCTCCCAACACTCGGCGTGCTTGTGCAGGTATGTTTCTTCAAAAAAGTCATAGCGTGACCCTGAAAGGGCCCAGACTTTAAAGCCCTTACGGCGGCCCTTATAGAAGCCCTGAAAACCCTCGCCCCCAAACCCCTAAACCCTAAACCCCCAACCCCTTAAACCCTAGCCCCCTGAAGCCCTAAACCCCCAAACCCTAAACCCCAAACCCCTTAAACCCCAAGCCCCTAAAAACGCTAAACCAGAAAACCCTAAGACCCGGACCCAGACCCGGCGCCCGAAAGTCTTTCGAAAACAGGGGCCTGCTGCCGATCCTTCAGCAGGAGCCTGCCACCGGAAAGCCGAAGGCTAGGTTGTTTAGGGTTTAGGGGCTAGGCCCAGGACGGTTGAAAGTACAAGAAAACGTTTTGCGTATTACTGGTCGTACGATTGCCAGGGTTCATGACTATAGTTACTAGCGCTGTTAATGTCATTCTGAATGTTGCTGTTTGTTTCAGTAGTCGTCATCGTCGCAAGGAAAGAGTCATGATGAAGGGGTTCAGGTTTGACGGCGTAGAGACATCTGTTTCATCCGCGAGGTACGATCCTTTCCTCGTGTGCGGTTTCTACTTTTCACTGGGGATGCACCTATCTCTAGCAGGAGCTCTTTCTATGCTAACTGTTTTAGGCTTAGGGTTGAGGGTCTAGCTACAGCTACGTACATGGAGACAGGATGAGGGAAGCACTGCATGAGTGCCCAGGATTTAGGGTTCAGGGATTTCCAGGTCAAGGCGTTTCTGTGTAACAGCTTTGTCCCCTTGGCAGGGAGCACATAATTGGGGCTCTTCTTGTCGCAGCACATAGTAGTCTTATTTCCGTATAGTCCCTATATTTCAACTAGTCTATAAAGTTTATCTCAAATGCTATTACAATGACGAAGGCTTCTATAGGAACAGATCGGTTTGCTCGATTGGCTTTCGCAGCAGGTCTTGTCCTAAGCCCGAAATCCTGAAGCGCATACCTGGGCCCTGGACAGGCCATACTTCTGAGCTTGGACTCGATGGATTGACCTGAGTGGTGGAAAGACGGATCCGCGGTCAGGGTTTAGGGTTTTTGGTTCAGGACTGACTTGGGGTTAGCGCCTGGGGTTTGTGGATAGAACTTCGGATTTTACATTTGACGGCTTTGGGTGTACATTGTACATTGAAGCATGTGCTCCCCTAGCGAGTAGGCCGTGAGCAGGGTTGCAACAGAGCGATCCCAATCAGGGTATTTCAGTCGCCATTGCAGCTGTACTCTTCATCATAGACTTTTAGTCACGGGAAATCCTGAAAAATACCCTATCTAGGAGCAACTGCCGGTAAAAGAGTGCTTCGTGGTGCAAAAGCCATGTTGCACACTTGCTAGTTGTAGTACGCACGGTGCCTCAGTTTTCGGTATAGGACTGCAGGTACTCCAGCGCGCAGTGGAGAGGATATGCCTGGGCTGAAATTCATGAGTTGGCAAACGGAACATACATCCTGCTTTACATCTCATCAAGGGTCCTCCTATATTGTAAAAAGCACCTACTGACCTTCCTGAAGTAAGAGGTTTTGGAGTCTGGGGGGGCTAGCCTCAGCCACGAAAGTAATACATAATCATGTAATGATCATGTGGCGGCGTATTTGAACCGGTGGAGGTCTATGATGCGTTTTGGGCCGGGCTTATTCAAGCCGGTACCAGAAATGTGCCCGGCCTGATTGCTGCATTTGTTTGCGGCCCTAAGCCCGTGAGGAGGGAACAATCTTTGCAGTTGCTGCAAAATTTGCCAAGTTTCGAAAGTGCTGAACTGCTCGCTGCTCCGTCGTAGCGAGGCTAGCAGCGCAAACTTGTTACACATTAAAAGCACGCAAAACCGTATCGCATGT